TTCAAACTAGCCTAATGCACTTTGGTAGAAAGAGGTTCAAATCAAAAAGCTCTCCAAACCTGAATTTTTCAAGTGCTTTATTCTAGCTCAAAACATATCTCTTACGTCCCCTTATGAGGCATCACAGTAAGGGACAGACTCCTCTTAATTGAAATTGCAAACATTGTCTAACAAATAGAGAAGTCCCTTGGAATCAGGGCTTAGCTTTTTGATGAAATCAAAGCTCAAAAGATTGCATTAATACCTGTCAAATTTGCCTGTTTTTTGAGTCCAGCAGGTGACGCATCAGCTGCAGGACAGACCGCATCCTTTGGAGGGAGTCCTGCTTGTTGCTTTTACATTGCTCCCCCAGTCACGAATCAACAATTCAGTTTCAGTGACAGAGCTGTAGCAGTTTGGAAGCCTTAAAAAATCCAGCACGGTTTAATAGTGCCAATTCTGCCACCTAGTGACACAAGAATATTAACCTTCAGTTTATGAATGTGTTGAGGGAGGATTGGCTGAAACAGCTACGACCGTGCCATGGCTGGGTGGATAGGTGATGCTCGAACACCACCTGTCCCTGTGGTTCACCCAGGCAGTCTGCACGCATGCTCAAAGTATAAAAGGGAAGGAGTGCATGCTGGTCAGCAAAGCATGAGGAGGATGAACGAGCCATCATGTAGATGCCCAGTCTCAAGGTTCATTCACCAGTACACACTATAGCTGCTGACAGGCCTAGACCTCGTCTTCTGGGAGTTCAGCATGTAAATTCAGCTACTACCCGCACAGAAGCTCAGCAGTGGCTAGTGAAAATAGACGATATACTTTTGCAGTCCTTTGGCCTACTGAGCAATGAGTGTGATTTGGGCCCCAAATCTGGAGTATATAGGTGGTAGTTCAGAGGGCTTTTCCCGTGTGTGGAATTCATACAGTGCACCCTTAAGAAACCCATGCAAAGTCCAGCTCTGCAAAACTGCTCTCTTGGTGAACTGCCAGCAACCAGCACTCCCTGTCTCCGAAACACACAGGCCACTTGAGTGGTTCAATGCAATTTACTCAGTGGCAGATGAGCAATATCTGAGCAATACAGGAACAGGACATGATCTGCATCCAGTGAAAATGTATGTACTCCTCTCTGCCCAGGATTTTGTGACTTTATTTTCACTGGCCTGTGCTATCTGCTAATAGTTTCAGGAGGATATAAGACATTCACGTGGAAACGGCAGCTGTGCCTGCTGTTACAAAGGTAGATGGCAAAGAGCACGGCGTTTAGATAGAAGTTTTGAGAACAAAACTGCCTGTGTTGAAACAACTAGCTTCCACAAATCTGTCTTTGAAGCATGCCTAGCAGAGGGCAAATAGCTATAAAATCATTGCTACCTGCTGCACTTCTCAATGCCTACCTATAGCAAAACACTCTTCAAGCTTTTGTAAAGGGAATAGCAAATTGGTACAAAACTACAGTTGAAAAGAGAGGTTTCTATACATTGTATACATATACACTCTATACATTTCTATACATTTCTACACAATTTCTATACATTGTTAAACTAAAGCTGCAAAAAGATGAGCTGCCTACAGGCCTGCATTGCTAATTAATGAAGTCTGCAATTTATCATTGAAAACTTGGCAGGGCCAGAGCTGGAAGCAGAATCTAGGCTTGCTATTTTCTCCTTCCTTGCTCTAACTACTGGAAACAACTGGGCAGTTGTGCATCTGTTTTACATCCTTAGTACCAATGCTATAGAAATAGCTTACAGGGCTCTGGTTTTAGTCAGCTGGTTTGTTCCTTTGTATACAGCTGTAACTCAGTACATTTCATCAGAATAAGTGGCACTACAACAAGGTGAGAGGAGGATCTGGTTCAATGTCTTCGAAACTCCATGTCTTGTCACCATTCAGTCTTGTTTCAGGAAAACAGCTCTGTTCAGGAAAGCATTTCAATTGTACTTCAGCAAACACTTAGCTTTGGCTGGTTCCCTGTCTGAAGAAATAGCTTTTGAGTGAAGAATCTTTTCAACTCTGAACTGGAAAAATGAGGAAGTAACACAAAAAGTATTTACTCTCTCTGCCGACTGACATTTTCTGTCATGCAGTTATTCCTAACATCTTTGGAAGGCATTCCCTCCTTCTGCAGAGCATGCATTTACAACGTGGAATCCCAGGTACCTGTGATTATCACAAGGATGCTATGAAATGTTTGTAAATCAACAGAAACCCAAACACTTTGTTTTTTTCTTCTCCACACTGTCATTCAAAATTGAAATTTTACATTCTTGCTGATTAAACCATGTATTAGAACAACTAAATACATCAAGATGCTGCTAGGAGAGAGAAAGATGCCAGATTCTTGTTCCATAGCAGATTTTTTTCCTGCATTCTGGCTTCTCAGCATCCCCTGTTCTGTTCAGACAATAGGAAATTATTGCTACAATTTGAAAGCTGAACAATTAAGGCAGCATCGAGGGAGGTGATCCTGCCCTTCTCCTCAGCCCTGGGGAGGCCTCACCTGGAGTGCTGTGCCCAGTTCTGGGCTCCCCAGTACAAGAGAGACGTGGCGCTCCTGGAGAGAGTCCAGCGGAGGGCTACAAAGAGGATGAGGGGACTGGAGCATTTCTCATAGGAGGAAAGGTTGAGGGAGCTGGAACTCTTCAGTCTGGAGAAGAGAAGACTGAGGGGGGATCTGATCAACGTATATAAATATCTGAGGGGAAGGTGTCAAGAGGATGGGGCCAGACTCTTCTCCGTGGTGTCCAGCGATAGAACGAGAGGCAACGGGCACACGTGGAAACACAGGAAAATCTGTCTGAGCATGAGGAAAAACTTCTTCACTGTGAGGGTGATGGAGCACTGGAGCAGGTTGCCCAGGGAGGTTGTGGAGTCTCCTTCCCTGGAGATATTCAAAACATGCCTGGGCAATGTGCTCTAGGTGACCCTGCTTGAGCAGGGGGGTTGGACTAGATGATCTCCAGAGGTCCCTTCCAACCTCAACCATTCTGTGATTCTGATTTGTTTCAGTAACAAATTGACTTCAGAAAGTAATGGTACAGAAGAAACAGGAAGTTAAAGGCTTACCAGAGGAGAGCCAAAAAACATTGCAGTTATTATCTTTGCTAAGGAATTGAGTAGGCACACTTTGTAAAGACAGCAGCTATTTCTTTGCGGCCCAGTGGAGATCTCTCAAGTGGTAAACCTAAAAGGTTCAACTCAGGTGAACTGTCCCTATTATTTTGGGTACACTGTGCAGGCCTCTCAGGTCTTTTGAACCATACTGTCCTATGTGTCCAACCCCAGGTTTAAGAAGTCGAGAGTTGGCCATTCTGGATTCCTGGATCTACATTGTCGATGTTCAACGGCCTCTGAGTGACTCACAATGTTGGTTTTCCAAATTGAGATGCCCTAAAGAGACTTACTTAATTTTCAGAGCTAATAATGAGTGGTGTGTGTGGGGGGGAGGTGTTTGTTTTCAATAAAAGAAATGAGAACCAAAGCACTGAGGCCTCCAGAAAGCATGTGGTGAAAAGTCAGCTTGACATTCACAGCGCATGGGAACTGTATGCTTATTTTCACCCAAAATTCCTTTTTTTCTGGTAGAAAGGGGGAAAAAAACTCACTCTTCTGCAATTGTCACAATCAGATAGCTCTGGATAATGTATTACTGAAGTGGCAACCATACGGAACAGTGTACGTGTTCTAACCCTAACATACACCCTAACAACTAGTACCAACTACTATCTCATGTCCACCCAGAATCTCATAGGGAGGAATGACTTTTGGAGGAGGTATTCATTCACATCCAAGTGAAAGGAAACACAAGAAGGGCAGGAGCCAAAATCCTCTCTACTTAGAATGGAGGTAGCTTTTCTGCTTCTCCTTTACCATTTTATCACATACAGTATGTAACACCTGTTTAATGGATTCCATGATGACTGGTAAAGCTCAACCTCCTCGCAGCAGCATCAAATTGTACTGTAAAGCCAGTGTATTCCCTCATGCAAAACTCAGTACGCTGAGGAGGTGGTTATTTTATCTCTGAGCATAAGAAGTAGCTACAGAACTGTCTCAAGAAAAAACTCCGTAGGCAGTCCAGTATAGCAATAGAGTTGTTCTCTAAAGAAGAACCAAATGTGGGCAGCTTAGCTTAATCTTTCACAGTTTATCCTCCCCCATCCCAAAAAGCCAGATCCACCCATCAGAGGATGCAGTCCACTCTCCCCTGAAAGTGCAACTGCTGGCGCTAAGCAGCACAACTTGGGCAGTTCCCCTGCTTTGGAGACATATTATTGAACTGAGGACTCTGATCGGAGAAGCTTCACAGTAAGATGACTTTTACTCTAAGACAGTCTCTGATTTTGAGCTGTTTAGCAAATGTCTGATGGAATAAAAGCTGAAAGGAACACAAGTCCCTTGATTATAACTGCAGCACTTTGAGACTTCTACTTTACCATCACTTTTACTGCAATTCTCTTATTGTAAGGAATCTTTCAACTAAGCAGTTTTTCAGTGAAAACTAAGTTCTGTGAAACTGAAATTTCTTGTGGGAATGCACATACTTTGACATAAATCTCTCAGAAAAGAATTTCCATATCTAAAGTACAATGTCTGATCTATACTAGAATACGCCCTTGGACATTACTAACTGTGCAATGGGCAAGGGATCCAGTGGGGAAATGAGTGAAGAGCCCAGAAAGAGTTCTAAAACCTTAGCAATTAGCTGATCAACTCATAAAGCAGCTTTTTTACTTTTCAAAAAGAAAAAACTTGGAATCAATTCCATTTTGTCCTACTGTAGTACATACAGTTACTGAACTCTATCCCTGTGGGATGGCCAGTTTCCCTCTTGTAAGCAGGTTTTATTGTGTTAAGTCCAAAGTCCATTATAAGCCATCTGAGTGTCTGCGAACCAGTATTTCTTTGATCTACTCACAAATCTTTCTGCCTCTGAATGTATTCATTCTTTCGTTGCTCCTGTTTCCACAGATAGACATGCCATACCCTAAACCTGTCTAGAATGCACCATGTGTCAGCGGCACAGCAAAGGTCAGCTGCTCTGCAAGGATGGTGAGCAGGGAGTAGAGCATGGTTACAAGGCCGGTGTGGGCAGTGACACTGCCCCAGCAAGGAGCTGGGTGCGGAGCAGCGCGGCTGGGCCAGGCCAGGCCGAGGCAATGGTAGGGTCCGATGCCGCCAGCCCGCCTGTGGCAACAAGGCAGGTCTGGGTTCGGGCCAGGCAGTCCTGCCGGTGAGGCTGGACTGGTGTTGATGTTGCGGAGGATCCGGAGAAAGACAAGAGAGGTCTCCTCATTTACTTGTAAAACTGGTAAGACGCTTTCTGGTAATCAGATATTACAAGCATAATACAGACTCCACCTATCTAAAATATACAACACTTCTTCAGCAGTCTTAAAAAAAAAAAAAAAAAGGCCACTTCTTCCATCTGTAAATATTTTCCATCTTTCAGCTCAAAAACTATCTCAGCAGATCTCCTGAATTACAAATGGAGACATTTGTTTTCACTCTTCCCCAACTCCTCCTACCAGAGACAGCTACAAGAACATCCACACCGGTCACTGCCCCCTACCCTAGCGATTTTCCTGTGTGCCTTGAAAACTAGTAAAGCTGCACTACAGGGGCTGCTGGAATCTGTATGGACAATGGCTTTCTAGCTGCCTCTGCCAGGTTTCTGAAATCTAACCAGTGGGCTATTTCACTTATCACATATCAAATTTCACCAGCACAGTGACACAAGGAATAAACAGACTCTCTTCAGTCAATTACCAGCTCTCATCCCATCTTCCTCCACGGTTTTCGCTGTCTGGGTCTCCCCACCCCATCTGTCTCAGTTCTGTATCACTAATTGCATGTTCCTTAATTCTGCAACAGCAGCTAAACACTTCTGCCCGTGTCTGTCACGACTGTGATGATGTCACAGCAAGAGAGCTATTTTTCAGTGTAGTGTCTGCAAGTGACGCTACACCAGGCTGGGTGTATCAGCCAGTTATCTACAGCCACACAGTTTTTGCTTTTATCCAGGGAGTACTCTCCCACCTGGAAACTTAAATTTAGTGCCTATGGACACTAATACCAGGTAAAGTTGGTGCAGGCAACTGGAAGCTGGAGTTTGAACTGGGTCAAGAACAAAGAAAGAGAAACCAAAACATTCCGCAATACTGTCAAGTTAATGATTACGGAAAGGGCAAAGGAAAAAAAGCCCCCACAGACGATTATCAATTATAAAACATGGATGTTATTCCAGCATTTTGTGGAATACTTTGCCAAATGAAACAGATGCAGCCAGAACAAAATAAAACAAAACCAAACAAAAATGTTTGACTGATCGCGTTCCTGTGAAATATTGCTGAGTTTGAATAAACAGTTAGAAGCAATTGTATCCCTGTAAATTCTGCAGGCCTGCCATAGCCTCCACGTAAAAAGACTGACAAAATGCTGACAAGAGAAATGTTCAAAGCAATGGGACCCGCTCTTCTCAAGATCACCTTTCTGCCATTAGTCAACGGGGGGTTTTTTTGGCGTTTATACCTCAGTGAATATTACAGATGAGCACGGATTTATTTTTTGTCAAAGTTCTTTGTGGCCCTAGACTCTATAGCTGTTAGTATAAGGCTGCCTCAGCTAGAACAAGGGATGATAAGTGGGCCAGCTGAGAATCTGGTCCTACCAGTTCACAGATTTACAACTCTCTTCTCCCGAAGATCCCAAAGCACTGCCTAAAAGCATTTAGTAACGTTGCTATCCTATTTCATTTTGCTAAAGGCATAACAGAGGCACTTGCAGAGGTGATACAAGCTAGCAACGTAAGCCATCAGCAGATCTGGAAACAGACTGAGCTCCCCTGACCACTAGACAAAGATCTACGACATCACACACAGTGCTATTCTTTTCCTAGCTCACATTGAGGGAATCAATATGACCACACTGTTGGACTTTACGTGGTTTGGTACCATTACTTATCATTCCCTTCACTCTTTTTCACAGCAGATTTTTTTGCAGGGAGTTGGTGGTACACAACCTATAATGCAGTTGTGGTCATCTTGCCTTTTGTCAAAGCTCAGCTCATCTCAGTTTATCCAGCACATAGTGAAAAGGGGCCAGAATTGCCACTGCAGTCCATGGTTCTGGCATGATTTGTATGCAACCCACAACAGCTACAAGCTTTTCCATGTTATTCCGTTGAGAAAAGTTGTTGTAGGAGTTATTACAGGAATTACTCAATGGAATAGATGTCTATCCCAATGCAGTGTGCAGTAGATGTTGGGAGAAGTATTTTGTTTGTGTCACTGTAGCAGGTTACTGCCCTGATCATAGCCTTTTGCAAGCCACTCTCCAGTTCAAAAACAATAGGTCTTAAGGAGAAATCTGATCCCGCTGGAACAGAGCAATGGGAGTATTTGGATCCTGAACTTTAGAAGAGCTTTATCTAGGCAAAATTTAAGATTTTGCTAATCAACTTGAAAATGATGGTAGGCAGAAAAATAAATGCAACACCAGATCAGATTTTCAAACAATTCGTATGATCATTTTTAGGCCTGCATTAAGCAAAGCACTTAGACATGAGCTTAAAAGTAAGCATGGAGAGAATATCATGGACTTTTGTGGAGCCACTACAGTGAAACGTGTCTTGCTAAACTGAGGCCTCAGTTCTGCATGGAATGACTTCCTGTTAGCAAGTATGTTCTAGAAAAACAAGTGCTATTTTGCTAGAGTAATCACTGAAATATCACTCCTCATTACTCCAGGAATCCTAGAGGAAACTATATACGCTGTTTCTTTGATATGTGCTGTGCCAGAACACATTAAATCCATTGTTCCCTTAGGCACAGGGACATACAGCTAAATTCTCTTCTGAAAAAAAGATTCTCACCCATGAGATTCATAACATTATCACTGTCTTCTATAGAGCTGCAGTGGAAGTGGATTAAATAATGAAATGAGCACTTTCTCTCTGAAATCGGCAGGCACAAGGTTTTTTTTAGCGACATGGGCAGCCTGGTATCTGATGCTGCTGAGCTGACGCAACCTACATCTGCCAGAGACATATACATTGTCCACTGTTAACACACAGCTGTAAAGGACCAGCTAGGATGCAAGTCCTCCAACTGGACTAGCTAGGCCATATAAGTTCTGTCTCTTCCCAAGATACTACTCTTTTCTTAAGTAAGCAATGTGACTTTTTTCAAAAAGGAAATCAAAATTAACAGGAGTTGATGGATGCATGGCACTTCTGTAAGTCTCTATTTAGTCTATGGCTACATGTGTAGGAAACATGCAAACTGGGATCCTCAATTTCAAATAAAACTTGATGTCTGTTTATATGTATTGGTGCTTAATTTTTTCAGATATGGGATGGCAGGCATTGTGTAAAAATAAACTGCGTTTCAAATGTTTATATCCTCACTTTAAAGGTGAATATGAGTGACACAGAGAACGACCACACGCAAGTTTTTTCAGATAACCAGTTGTAACCAACAGTGAGACTGGGACCTTTAAAATCCATCATATAGGAAAAAAGTCCAGTGAAATCCCGTGCAAAAGCCCTCCTACCTATTCCCATCAGCTGTCACTGTCAAGTGCACTGGCTATATATATGTATTGCTAACTGAAGTATGAAATGAATTACGTTGAGCTCTTTGACAAGTCTCATCTTTCTATCTACCTTGCCGACATAACTCACCCTCAAAGTTCCAAACCAGTATTTTAAAGGGGTCACGTATAAGATGCCCATCACTGTTTTGAGCCTCACCATTTACTATTCACCTACAGTATGTGAATGAGGATTTGTATTGATAAAGCACTATGTTCCATCTTAAGCCTGCACCTGAGCCGAATGCCAATTTTGCATCCACTGGAGATGTTCTCATCAACTAACAGCCTGGACCTGTGCCAGTCTACCAATCTCTTTTTGGCCATTACTACTACTAATCTGTAAAATCCATCACAGCTTGAGTCACCCTCTGTAGAATGATGTCTCTACTCTTTCC